CCAAGATTCTTTGGGACAGATCCAGGGCCTTTAAAGGGATATCAAAACTAATATGCCTGGGTAGTTCGCCGGATTAAACTAGGTTCCTCAGCAAGCAAGAGAGTCTTTGTCTGCTCCAGAGGCCTGTCATTGCACCGTCACATAAGGACACCAAGAGACTCTGGCTGTCACCTTGTCCAGACTAGAGAGCCTTCCGTTACTCCAGAGGCTTGTCATTGCACCGTCCCATAAGGACACCAAGAGACTCTGGCTGTCACCTTGTCCAGACTAGAGAGACTTCCGTTTGCGGCTTTCTTTTTTGGGTGGAGATCTGGCCCCCTTCCCAAATGGGCCATGTGGAACTCCCCTCCTTCCCCCCCCCGGCCCCGTTCAGATCTCCCTTGGCCCTCCCTGTCTTTGTCTTCCTCCGTTCCAGCCTCTCGCCGCCGCCTGCCCCTTCTCTGGTTTAGCTCCCTTCCGCTCTGTGTCGGGTGGGTTGGGAGGAATCCTGTGGGTTTTGCAACTGGAATAAATCATCCGGGCCGGGCAGAGGAAAACACCCTGGGCTTAGTTGCGGGGGCGTTGGTGGCATTTTCGTGGTAGAGAGCCAGGGTGGTCACGAGGAAGGAGTAGAAACTCCACACCCGGGAAATCTCCCCCCCCCTCCAGTGGTCCTTTCTGCCACGTTTTCATGGCACCTACTCCATGCATTCGGAGCAGGGTGTACGTCAGAAATGTCTCGACCCGACGTTCCGATGAATGGGGTCCTTTTTTCTTTGGAGCGCTTGCAATCTCTCCAACGCCCACCTGCTCTGTGACGGGCTGTTTCCCACCTCCTCTCTCTGGTGGCCATTTTCTGCTCCCGGTAGCCACTGGGCATCCTTGCGGGTTTTGGACCTCACTGCAGTTTTCAGGCCTCCCGGTCAGGAAACATGGCTGCTTTCCTCTTATTTCAGAGGGGGTTACGGGATCTCAGGTGGCCCTTAGCGACCCACACAAGCTCGGAGTTTAAGAAATAAATTTAAGAAACTATCGGTGAAGCTTCCACGTTTAGGGATGGTGGACCTTTTAAGGAGAGGTTCCCTTTCTGGCCAGGTCGTGTTCTTTGGCCCCTGGAGATTCAGCAGGAAGGATTTTGCATCTCTTGAAGGAGAGAAACGTCCTTGAAGTTGCCAGCCCTCTTCTGTAAACTCTCGGCTTCTGCTACCCCGTAGTATTCCGGATGGCAGAACCACTCGCCCAGAAATAATGCATTTTGCAGATCCCTTTGCAGGCAGCTCAGAGTTTTATATTTAACCCGCATGTCCTGTTCCCGGTCTGCCTTTAAATACCTCTGCACTTGCAATGCAAACCATCTGCATTTAGATTTTGGGCATTTCCAGAGAGCTTTGCCAGAGTCTTAAATGGGCGCAAGGCTTCTGGAAGTCAACACGGGTGGATCGGCACCAGCATAGGGTGAGGGAAGTCAGAGAGCTGGATAAAATACAGTCTTGAGCACAATGAGGGGGAAAATCCATTTTATGAATGCTGGTGGGCGTAATTTAATAAAATAGCAACCCAGACATTTTCCTGTCCTCAGATTACCTCTGGAGCAGTCAGCTTTTTGCAAAGTTGCCGGTTTGAGTCTTTCTCAGCCACAGACTCTGGGTGGCCTTGCAGACGAAACGTGTGAATCCCCACATATTTTATTTTAGCGAGGTTTAATTACAGCAGTGTTTCGGATTGTAGCCGTAGCTTTTGCTTCATCCCTCACCTGCATGGCGTATGTGCGGATGGTTTGCCTCTTTTATAAGGATTACGGAGATGAGTCAAACGTAGGAGAAACGCACTCTGCAAGCGAAGCCTGGAAAACTTTTACTTTCATGAGAACTAGTAACCAATGGCTTGCAGATCAATGAACTCACAATTGTTTTTACTGACTTGGTTGCCCATTGCTATTTATTTTAAGGACTCTCCTGTCTCAAAGAACCATGTGTCGTTGTTTTTAAATCTTGCCTGGTCACCTGGAGTCAATTCTGGATCACCCCAGGCGAGCAGGGTCTCTTCCTTAATCCTGCACAAGCCGTCCTCCAAACAAGGATCAACTCGTATTCCAGTTCTCCAAAGTTTGGTGTTTGAGTCGGTTGTGGGAAAAGGATTATATTTTTGTTGGGTTCTCGTGGACGTTATGTTTGCCGATACCAGGAATAGGGCTGACTTTGTGTTCTTGAAGGCAGTGGCGTGATCCTCGTAGGTAGTTTTCTTTTCCCCCCTCCTTCCTTCCACAACCAGGTGAGGGTACCTGTGCTCTGGAAACGTGATACCCAAAGGTGAACTGCAGACTTTAGACTATAATTGAATAGCGGTTGGTGCAGATGATGACTGCAGTTGCTATCGTATCATTACGACGCAGCTGGTGCCCAGAAGACCTCCGTTGGGCCTTAGGAATTGGCTAGTGTTTCTAGTCCTCATGATCCTCACCGTGGCAGTTTGGAAACAGTGGTTTAAAACTTTGCACCCCTGCGTATAGCAGCAGGTCTTGGGAGTTGTGTGCCGATGTTTTGGAAATACCGGGAACGCCGTTGTGTCTGTGCTCGCGCTTTTTGCTCCTGTCGCCCAGCCGTGTTCTGCCGTTGCAAACCCTCTCAGGTGCAGCCGCCCTTCCCACGCCGTGGCTGCCATCTGCACCTCCCATTGAAACTACACCTTCCCCCTCCCTCGTGCGCCAGCCCTGGCAAAATCCCGGTTGCCAGGAGAGGCCGGCAGTGTTGTGAGCCGATAAACAGAGACATGAGTCAGCCGGAGAGAGGAAAAAAAGAAACAACCAACCCACAATAATTACTCCTTGATGTTTCTGGCCGAAGTTGCATGAGGAGTTGTAGGCGGAGCATAGAGAGCCGGCTCCTTTGTCCTCCTTAGCATTTTTCAAAAAATATGTGGTGCTTGGCGAGGATCAAAGCAAAATGGGCGAGGAAGTATCACCAGCTATTCTGTAACAATCCTTTCCCCCTTTGAAATCAGGATTCTCCTCTGAGAGGGAAGCCTTTAATTCGCTGGCTCTGGAAGGCATCTTGTTTTTATTTCCACACCTTCTTTCCTGTTCTGACGGAAAACCTGAAACAGCAAACAGGCACTGGAGCGTGGCCCTCTCAGTCAATAGGGGTCCGTTTATTATTCCTTATTTTGTTTGTTTTATTATTAGGCTGCCTTTCTCCCGATAAGGGGACCCAAGGCGGCTCACAATATTAAAAGGAATAGAAACAAAATCATAATAAGCTAAGCATTAAAAAAAGATTAAACTATACAGTGCGCTGATTAAAATACTACAGTGGAATAATGAAAAGCAAGTAAACATTTGCTGCCTGAAAAGGTGGGTCACCCGCTGTCCACGGAAGGATAAAAGGGAGAAGGGGGGCAGCTTGATCTCCCAAGGGGGAGCATCCCCTTACCTGGGAAGCTACCACAGAGAAGACCCTCTCTCGTGTCCCTGTCAGCCGTGTCTCTGCTGGCAGTGGGACCGAGAGAAGGGCCGCCTCAGACGATCGTAAGCACTGAGAAAGCTGAGATGGGAAGATTTGAGATCTATAAAGGCTCTGCTCCATCGCGACAGCCCTGTACGTAGGTCAGAGACAGAGAGA